TTTCGAAATGTACACGCATACTATACATGCATGTTCTTCATATTTTAAAATGTATTAAAATGTTGTAGCTATTATAAAAGCCATATGATATCATCTACAGAGCTACTACAAAATTTACATCAATTCTGTTTATTCAAGATAAGTAACTAGTAAACATAAGAACGATAATATTTATTCTTTTATAAGTAAGTTTATGCTTTGGATAATTTTATTGATTTGAAGCCTAAACGAGCTGGCTGTTTATAAGAATATACTTTTATGGTGATGGAATGGTGTAGCATTGCACACACAAGCAATCGAACGTGTCTCTCAGGCTTAAATAATAATTGCTCTTTATTCGCTATTTACGGTATTAATCCCGTTACCAATAGTATATGCTATAAATTAATACTAGCTACTTATTTTCTAACGAACAATAACTGAGTCATAGAATTCAGAATATCTAGGTATTATCCGAACGGTGCATAATAAACACTTTAAAATTTGTTAAAGATACCAATTGTAATACCCTACGGCAGATAGAAAGCTTTCTAAATAATCAATTCATTTTAAAGATACTGTATTAGCCAAGTGTTGGCATCGAAGTATAGTTGAACTGGCAACTAGTTATAAATTTTTATCGCAATATTGCTATGATTAATACAAGTATTGATATCATGACAGCGTTGATAGTATTAAGGCTCAGAATCTGTTATAATTTATAATTTCATGCCCAACGCAGACGTTTGACAATGCAAGTCAAAGCATCGATTTATATTATATAATCAGTCCTGCATAATTGTCTGACTTGTAGATTATAAATAACTACTTAATAAATTATCAGATAAAATAATTAGGTTATGACAGTCCTTGTACTTATGTTATACCAATTGGTAAAAATATTTTCATAAAATTTGATCAATAACAAAATTACAGGAGTATATCAATTGGCAAAAATAGCAATATATACGCTGAATACGAGTGCGCAAGAAGTATACACATACGTATCGTAAATGCAATCCGGATCCACTATTGATTAATGAATCATCAAAATTAAATAAAATATGCTACGATTGGATTGATTATATTGTTGTTGTTTACAGCCACGTCAAAGCGACCTGACTTTATTATGTAAAACCATGATTCATTCTACTTCAGGAATTATCATTATTAAAGATGGAGGAACGGAATCTATATGAGAAATTTTTTGACCTTGTTGACTATTTAGATAGACGACATTTTGTTGCTCCCTGTTATGGTAAAATTTTCGATGTGTACTTTATGAATCATTGCTTATCGTAAGGTATTATACTTGTATATGTAATTACATTTACGTCTAGTTATAAATATTTATGTAAAGTTTTGAACCTACTGTCGAGTTGACGCCAGTCCGGGAGTCTTTGATGCAATTACATGATAACAAACGAAGGATCACGTAGGGTGAGTCTATATTACAAGGTATGTTTAGATAATTCTATACATATATTAAAAGTATTTAAATTTTTCATTCTGAAAAGTTCAACTATTAATTAGCTACTAACATTTGAAAGAAGCGACTTGAAACTTAAAACTGTTCAATACAGATGATACATTTCTACAGTAATAGCACATGTATACATCGAATGTACTCGTAAATTCCGATTGAAAAAATGGAGAAAAACTGATATATGATAATAACGTATGCTTTATAATTTAGAAATAACAAGCACTAAATAAATAAACTCGCTAATTGCCAGATAATAATAATAGCCTTATTACGGGCGGTAAATACTGATAATAAACACACTGCTGCTTCTGATGGAATGACTTCCATCGGTTTATCAGAAATCTTAGTAGTCTTATGGGTAATACTTGAAATTTAAATAAATCAGACAAATGTTTGCAGTTACCATGCGCATTCAAATTGACTGAAATTGATGTTATAGTGGACTAATCTTGATTTTGATATAATCCATATGGTTCATTGCATTAGTTATTATTGACATTCAGATATCTTTTGCCAATATACAAAGTGTACTAATAACCAGCATCCTCTATCTTTTCTCAAATTTCCAATACTGCATGTACGCGAGTGAATGATTGCAATTTTACTCACAAATTAAAATTAGCACATTAACGTATCTTTTATTGGGCATGATTGCAAACTATTTGTAGCCTATGTAATGGAATGATATTCATTTCTTTCATTTTTTGGGTAGCATTAGCGTAATTTGTTGTAAATTTTAGAGCTGTAGCTGAGCTAATAATTAGTTAGCAAGGCGTGCGAGTATAGTTGCATTATTAAGTGATGAAAGATTAAATGTTAATTCATTGTCCTCGTTCTAATTAGTGGATAAATAAAATATTATTTTATTGGATATTTACTTTGACTGCAAACCTTAAATATCAAACTAGTCATTCTATAACCATAATTTCGAAGTTTATAGTCTTAAAATTGATATGTTTATCGTTTCTTATTATTCCCTACCATATGGCTCATGCATCCGGATACAGGTACAATTCTAAGCACTGTGTACTCGCCAGTTATGCCGGGTGTAGATGTTGCATAGCTCTATAAATTCAAAAAAATTGAATAACGGCTATTCCATAGCAAGTTGGTTGTTTGACTAAATAGTTGATGCAGAAATAGCATCCATCACGATTCGGATTACTGTACGGTGAAAGGATAAACATGAAATGTTATTGTACAGTAAATAGTCAGCACCGTCATTTTTCCAATGGTAGTGCAGTGCTGTACAACTTGAAATTGAACTTCAATAGCATCATGCCTCTAGGGTAGCACTGCTGTGGTAGTACAGTATTGCGCTTGGTGCTCCCCTTTTTCTTGCTTATTGTACACTAAATACTCATTTACTTTACTTCATTACACTGTAGTAGTACGTCAATTTCTGTTTTTATCCATTCGCCTGGTTATGGACTATGTCAAATTATACTACTGTCTACAGCAGATCCTAATCTACTATTGACATTAAGTATTGAGCAAGGAAAAAATAAAACTCGATGATGAAAAGCATGCTAGAAGCAGTGACTACTCAAGGAAGGAGAGAAATTTTCTCTATAAGGGTTAAAGGTCCTCTGGTAAATCTCGAACATACTGTGTAGAGTCGAGATCAGAGAGCTGCACAAGGACGAGATTGACAAGTTGGTCCAACCCGAACCCGAAAGGTAAAGGCGATACAGCCGAGTTGAAGTTGAGTTGAGTTCAGGTTGAGTTTGATGAGGGTCACTCTACTGTACAGTGTACAGTGTACAGTACTGTCTCTGAATGGCGTTCGACAGTACAGTATCACGGACTATGGCCTGTATGCTTGCAATGGTATTGTTTCAGAACGAGACGAAACGTTTGCTGATTGGCCTGATCTTGATACTCCAACAAAGGATAACTAGTAAAATGGTGCGGATCAGGCCAATGAGCAAACGTTTCTTCCCATTGTGAAACATGACGACTTCAAAGTCGCTTTGAATTGAACCAGGTCGAATGTCACTGTCTCAGTACAGTACAGTACTGTACTGTACAGTATAGCAGAACGAGCGTACAGTACCGTAGGTTCTACTACAGTACAGTACTGTAGAATAACTTTCGGTTTTTCTACCCTTGACGGCAGATTATCTTAGGGTGTCTGCAGAATCGACAGTAAAGCCTTGCTAACACTTGGAAGTCCTATCCATGGTGGTTCTTCCCTATGGTCCTCATATAGCTATTCTATATATATAACTTCTGGTATAAGTAAAGTCTGTTCTGACAGAGATTCTTCAGTACCAAGATGATCACCTATGGGGTTACTTTACAGTGTGCAGTACTGATCCACTGATGTGTTCCTGTTTATACCAGATAACCACTGCAGTACCAGACGACTGGACTACTCGACCCATATTCAGTCACTGCCAAGTCACTTTCACAGTTTCACCTACTGTAGACCTGACTTTCACCCTCTTGTTTTTTACAGTCCCTCAGTCAAAATTGTACAGTACTGTACAGTACTGTAATTACAGTACTACAGTACAATCCGTACTGTTACGTTATGGACTGTACAGTACTGTTACTGTGCCCATTAGTAGTGTCTACAGTACACTGATCTTGTCATGTTTGTACCAGATCACCACGACAGTACCAGACGACTGGACTGCTGGACCCATATTTAGTCACTGCCAACTGCCAAGTCACTTTCACAATTTCGCCCTCATTTTTTTTACAGTCCCTCAGTCAAAATTGTAACGTACAGTACAGTACTGTACTGTCACTTTACTAGTGATCTTAATAAGCGAATACTAATTAAGAGTTGTTACATCAACCAGTGATGTTAATAAGCAAATACTGATTAAGAGTCGTTACATTCCATAGCATTGGTACAGTACATACAGTACTACAGTACAATCCGTACTGTTACGTTATGGACTGTACACTGTACATTTCTGGTGTACAGTACTGTACTGTAGTAACTGTACAGTGACTGTGCCCATTCCGTAGTCGCTATAGTCCAGGCGTACAGTACAGCGATGTTATTGTGTATCAGATATTTTAGTAAAAGTACAGTAGAAATAAAATTCTTTGCTCTATCGGTATATACAGCACAGTAGTACAAACTATAAACTACTGTATTTGCACGTTCGATTTCGTTCCATTTTTTCCCAGTTAAAGTATTGAAAACGAAATTCAAAACGCTGTACTGTAAACTACAGTACATCTACTGTACTGTAGTACTGTAGTCCATGACTGGACGGTACTGTACCGTACAGTGTACAGTGTACAGTACAGTACGGTGCTACAGTAGAATGTGCAGTACTGTACTGTACTCTTCTTATTCGATTTGCCTATATAGCTGCTTGTACAGTACCGCCATGCAATACTCAATTACAGGTAGTAGTACTATAAATGACAGTAGACTGGTACAGTACGTACACTGTCAAACGCGTCAACGGTCAAGTGGATCGATCCTTCAAGGCTTCAACCTCAGGCAGATTCAGAGGCAAGTTCGGAAAGACGGAAAAATCTTCGGACTTGATCAAGTTGCTTTTCAAACATGTCGTCCAACGATTATATTGACAACGAAGCTGAAGAATCAGAGGAAGAATATGCTGGATCCAACCAAGACGAAGACGACGATGATGATGGCGCCGAGGATGATAAATTAAGCGGTTTTGTCACTGATAAAGATGAAACCAGCCATGATGACAGCGAATCAGACAGTGGGACCACGGGCAAGAAACGATACCACGATGGTAGGTGCAAATACAACTTTCCCATAATATTTGGAATCATGGCCAAGGAAATCTTCCAATTCATTCAACTATTGTATGTCCATAATTCTTCATTAAGGTTGATGTTGTTGATTGTATGTCTCATTGTAGAGGATGATATTGATGATGATTTGGATGAAGACGATTTTGATCTCATCAACGAAAATACTGGCATTGATTTACAAAGGGTAAGATAGAGGCAACAGTTGATGAATAAAATAAAAGCATCTTTTCAAACTCTTGCTGAAATATCAGTACAAAAATGCAACTGGAAAGACCTAGTATTGCAAGAGTTTTAGTTTAGTACTATCATGAAAGATGAGTAAAGTTTCAATTCGTAAGTATAAGTCAGTAAACCATTGAACAAGTAGTATCACCTTGATGTCTTACTGTACGGATGCATGGGTACAAGTCGACATCTTCCATCACTCTCTTCTTTCCTACAATACAGTATGAGTAAATAGAGGCAGACTTGAGGACAAGCTAGATGAGATTGAATATCGTAAAAGTGTAAACTTTTCAAAGTAGAACGATGCTCATCAAGATTGAACTAAATGAATCAAAATCTGATCGATTGCTTTCAAACGCCAATTGCCATACTGACTAGAGATAGTGGATAAAAATATCACGCGTAATGTCTGCGAAAAATTGTAACTGTACAACATCAACAAATGGATGACTGTCATTATCCCAATGACTAGGGTTGGATCCATGGATAGATTTTTTACTGCATCAAAAAACTAAAGAGAATTGAATGCCACCATCTTTTATTACGACTAATACTATGCTATCATCTGTACAGTACTAAAGACCGAATTGAAATTGATTAAAGTTCATTAATTTGTGTAGAATAAACGATTTCGACGGGTACGAACATTGGAGTCGGCTTTCGATGAAGAGCCTGAAGACGATATTATGGCGTTGCCGCCAGAAGCTGATCCTGTCGTAGCGAAGGTAGAATATTTAGTCAATGATCCATTTGAATATTTATATTTATAAGCAATCCATGCTGTTGATGGTGTATTAATTGTTTTCTGTTATGGTATGTAGAAACCTAGCACATCTGAAAAGCCATCAGCACCGCACGATGATATCTTTGCGGAAATGTCTTCAGACGAAGGTGAAAGTAACGATTCAAGTTAACACTATCCCCTAATTAACACCTCAATAGGCGCATTTCCCTCCAATGTTGAATTAATTATTTAAAATGATTCTTAATTCTACTGATATCATCTTTGTTTCGATTAGATGATGATTTTATCGTCGACGAAGAAGGCAGACCGATACATGAAGAAGATGATGAAGCCGATGAGTGAGTGTTAAATAGAGCAAATGGCTTGACTTTAATTTTTCAATCACAATGTCGAAAATACAATTCTCTGTAATTCATATATTGCAGATTGAAAATGCGATATTATTTGAAATCATACATTAATTACAATACTATCTTATTTTATTCTTTAGGGCGATGCATGATGCCAATGATATATTTCGCATAGATTTTGATTATCTTGATGAAGGCGCAGATGAAGTTGAAGAATATGAAGAAGATGATTATCTTGATGAAGATATAGATTCACAGGTCGCTAATATAGTTTCAACAACGTATGGATGTAACATGTTCACCATTTATAAAAAAAAACTCTAGCTATGTTATGCGACTTGCCTATTTCTAAAATTGAGAAGATTACAATAAAATAATTTGCATTCTATTGATAGGATGAAAGTGAACCACGTCGGCGATCAAGGAAGAAAGTCTCAAAAAAAGGTCGCTCATTATTTGAAATTTATGAACCAACTGATTTGGAAAAACGTTATTTATCTAAGCGAGATGAAAAGATTCGGATTACAGACATGCCTGAAAGACATCAGGTAGTATTACTTAATACCAGTATGATGCTGACAGGTAGTGTTTCAAACTACCAAACAATTCTATGACCTGTCTCTAAAATTTTCAATTGTAAATCTCTCCTATTTGTATCTAAGTTGCGCAAAATTGCTGTTACTAAAGCCGATGACACTGAATTGGATAACGAATCTCAATGGATTTATTCTCAGGCTTTTATGAATCCTTCAATATCAAATCAGGTATACTAGAATAGTGACTCTATTTTATGACCGCATGATTTTCTGTAGCCAAAATTATCTATCACTTGTAATCGATCAGGGTATCAACTACGGATCAGGAAGTCAATTAATGATCACTGTACGAGAAATCTTGGCGCTAATTCGCAATGAAGGCCTTGAGGTAATCTTTAATTTAACTAATGCGTACTTCCCAAGCATCAGCACATTAATGAAAGATGTTCTTTCAAATGTAGTATTGAGATACCGTTATTAGTTTATGTTTAAAGATACCACTATGTGTATATATAGTTTATAAATTTTTGCACGATATCTCTTTAGATACCATTTATAGCGCACTACCGTAAAGAAATATATCGGCATTCCCTACAAGTTGATGATTTATGGCGTATTTACAATTGGGATATAAAGGTATTCGATTTTATTTTTTCTATTTAATTTGATTTATGTGGAAAACAACAATTTCACTACCACTCTCGAAAGTTATGCGCATTAGCTTAATACAATTTTAATACTATTCATTTTCAGTGGATGTATTTTAGTCGTAGAAAACAAAACATGGCAAAGTTATTCGCCAAAGTACAACAATATCAATATGATAAAGCTAAAAATACCCACGATTTTTCCACATTTAATGCGAAAATTATCGATGCTGAAGATACCGCTAGGTAATTAATAATATTAAACTTTAGAGTAAACCAATGAGTTTCAGGTAATATTTCAGTCGATAAATCTAAATTGTTGATTTGTATTAGACTTGAGGAATGCAACACTTATGAAGAACTACAAGACGTCTACACTCACTTTTTGTTATATCACCATAAAGAACTGGAAGACCTTCGTAATGACGCCTCAAAGAAAACAACAAATAGTGATGATAAAAACCAAAGCGATAATAATGAAAAGCGTAGCGGAGAGAGTATACGGAGGCTGAGAAGGCGCAACTTCTATACGCGATGTGAAGATAATAAAATTAGTCATTTAGCATTAAAATTTGGTTTATCTCCAGAAAGATTTGGCAAAAATGTGATCGAATCATATCAAATAAATGAACCCACTCAGTATGAGATTGATCCAAACACCACTGCTCGAGACTATATCACAAAGTATCGTACCGAAATTGTAACTGTAATTACTTTTATTAATACTTATGATATTTTTGTAAATGATGTGATGTATTCTATTCTAGAGCTTTTCCTACTGTTGAAGCCGTTTTAGATGCGGCAGTCTACACAGTAGCCGTACAACTTTCTAGAGATCCCTTAGTACGTAGAGCGGTTCGGTTAGCCTTTTATGAAAGAGCTAAGATCTCTTGTCGTCCAACTAAAAGGGGTAAAAAGGTAAATAAATCTAATGTTCTCATTAAATTGGCTAGCCTGACTTATGTCATAAAGTTTTCAATTGGCTTGGAAGAAAGAATATTAACCATACTCTTTTGTACTACCTGTAGGATATTGATAAAAATCATGTGTACAGCCCTTTGAAATATATTTCTAATAAGCCTATTCGTGATCTCACCCATGACCAATACTTGCAAATATCTAAGGTTGATCAATAGGGGATTTTGTAATTCTTTATTACTGTCAATTTAATAAACATCAACAACTTCAATAATGCTCTCGTTTCTTGATCCTATTAGGCTGAAAAGGAAGGATTCATAACTCATACATTTTCAGTTGAACCTTCAGCTAGGTAATTCTTTACATAATATACCGTATACGTTTCCGTAATATTTATAGAAATTAATAACAACCAAGAATTTTAGATTCAATTTTGCGCTATTCATACTCTAACAAAAATCTATTTTAATGTAGTTCTTGGGGCTCATACGCTGATGAGCTAAAGCAGTATTATTTTGTCGTAAGTACCCTCTATAACTGATCAAATTTAACTTATACAAGCTACAAGATATATTATTATTCTTCGAAGGATGGTTTTAGCGATTTGATCAAAGAATGGAACGAGCTCCGTGGGCGTGCCGTACAGAAAGCCGTCGAAGACGTTCTATTCGAAGAATTTCGAAAGGAATTACAAGAGAAGTTACTACGGGAGTCTTACGAATATGTCATCAAGGTTTTGCAGCATTGATTTAGAATAATAATTTAAGGATTTCTTTCAGCAATAAAAAACTAATGTTGCTGTCGCTGAAGGTGTGTATTCATTAATAAATGGTAATTTTGTGTCGCTTATTCTAGGAATGTTGTTGTAATGTCAGAAAACGAATCAATGTCGCTTCTTTTAAAATTGGCTCTGAAAATGATGAAGATGATGAAATGGAACCTTATCAACGGATTATGAGTTTCGCATTTGTTTCAGACCGGTAGTCAATATACTTTCTTGAAAGTTTTATCCGTAAATTTCATTCTATTCTACACAAAGTTCATTTTTGCTATACTGCATTCATTTGTGCAGAGATATCGCATCTTATGCATGTGTCATTGACGGCCATGGAGAAGTAAGTGACTTTTTGAAGTTAAGCCACCTTTTGAGAGGTCCGAGAAATTATGAAACAGAAGAAGATCCGAATAGAGTTGGTGCTACTGCTTAATTTACCTAATATGCGCCCACTACGAATAATTTTTGTAATTTTAAAACGTTCGTAATAATTTCTTAGATTAAAGAAATCAAATTAATTAAAGGCTTAATCGTTAGCAAGCAACCAGTAGCGATAGCAATATCAGCTTCATGCAGGTACTCTTTCCTGTTTCAAAAATGCAGACAGTAAAAAATATTTATAATTGCAAATCCCGAAATTAACAATATTAATGCTCTACAGGCAAGCAACTGGTGTTAAGAAAGACTTAGAAGGAATTGTAAATGAATTACAGTCCGAAGAAGATTTGCCACCTATAAGTGTTGAACTGATAGATCCTTGTATCCCACGTCTGTTTGAATCTTCTAAACGCGCTAAGGTATTCGGAAATTAAATTAAGTGATGGATTATGATAAAAAACTTATGCACAGGTCACTGAACAGATCACCCTTTACTTTTCGTTGTTAAGAACGAATTCCCGGAGTATCCTCCATTACTCTGTCACGCTATTTCTTTAGCTCGTTATATGCAAGAACCTCTTTTGGAGTTATCTCAATTGCTAACATCAGATGATGAAGAAATATTATGCCTTAGGCTCCACATATTACAGGTATTAACAGCCACGATAAAGATATATCTGCTTGTCATAGTTAAAAGATAAATTATATTTTAGGCTGAAATTCCTAAACCTGATCTTATGGAAGCGTTATACATCGAATTTATCAATTGCATTAATGATATTGGAATTGATCTGAACTTATGCTTAACAAATGAACGCTACTCGTCATTACTTTCATTCGTATGTGGTCTTGGTCCTCGTAAAGCAACGGCATTGCTGAAGGTATGTTATTGAACAGTTTAAATACTATTGGATTGTTATTCTGTATTACATGTAACTATTAGAATGCTCTCTGTAACTACGGTCTAGTTATTAAAGAAAGGAAATCTCCGTCTGAGAAATCGAAAGTCTTTGGTAACAGAATGCGGTATGGGTCCGAACTTATTTGTAAATTGTGCTGGTTTTATCAAGATTCCTACAAATAAAGTAGATGACAGGTTATTATGCAATAGGTTGTTGTTATCAACTGTATCTTGTAGTATAATAATTAATTTTAGACTTTCGCTTTCTGTAATCTTAATTATACTGACTTTAAAGTTTATCCTGCTTTTTCCAGCGATTATGCTGAAATATTAGATACCACTCGTATCCATCCTGAGGCTTATGACTGGGCGCGTAAAATGGCAATTGATGCCTTAGATTACGATGAAGTAAGTCATAAAATGCATAGGAGTCATATAGCTTTGGATGGTATTAGATCTCTTTAATATGACAATGGAATAATCTAGCTATTTTCTTTAGTCTGCAGAAGAAATAAATCAAGCTACAGTCGTACATGACATAATCGATCAACCTGATAAACTTAAGGATCTTGATTTAGATGCATTTGCCGAAGAGTTAAAGCGCCAGGTGAATATATACTATTACAGTCATACGTACAATTCTTTAACATGGCATTATTGGTTTTAGTTTAATCGGCAAGTCTAAACAATTTCTACTATTTCAGGGATTTGGAAATAAATCTGTAACTTTATACGATATCCGTGAAGAATTAACACACAGGTATAAAGAGTGTCGTCAGCCTTTTGATAGCTTGAGTCCGGGAGAAGTATTCTACTTATTGGTAGATGAAACGCCAGAATCGTTATGCTATGGCCAATTAATAACTTGTCGTGTTATTGGTATTGTTCATCGACGACCAACGAAAGATCAAATCGATCGAGTTAATCCTGAACGAGATCCAATTTCTAACACTTGGACTTGTCCGTTATGTTTATTTGACTCCTTTAAAGAACTTAGCGAGGTAAGCAAGTAACAGATATGGTACACCATAAACATTAAATTGTTATCTCACCTTTGATCATTTATTTCGGTCGAAATACTTTTACTAGGTATGGAGACACATTGACAACAACGAGTGTAAAGGTATCGCTATCGGCGTAAAAGTTATATTAGATAGTGGAATTACTGGTTTTATTAGTACGAAAAATATCAGTGATAAGCAAATACGAACGCCAGAAGAACGTGTTAAGGTAATAATAACGACTCTAAGATTTTTACAATCCTCTTCGCCTAAGAAATTTGTTGTATTTTCTATAGATTGGAATGGTGATTCATTGTAGAATAATTAAGTTAAATATTGATAAACTTTCGGTGGACCTGTCCTGCAAATCGTCTGATTTAGCAGACCATGATAATCAATTCAGGTGCGTGTAAATATCAGCGCATTTCTGATAGTAAATATTATACTTCGCCGCCCCTAACGATACTTCACACATACACTCTAACAATATCGAAATGATTTATGTTATCGATAGTAAACCAAAAGATAATTATTACGATACTGAGATCGAGAAAGCAGATATGGAAGAAGACGTGAAGAAAACGAAGAAACAACAAATTCGTAAGCGTAGAGTTTTATGTGCCTCACAACATTCGTCATATCTTTAGATAATTAATTCACCATGTATAGATCAATTAATGTACCTAATTTTTAATTATTTAGCTTATATCAAGCGCATTATTGTCCATCCTTCATTTCACAACATATCATATAAAGATGCAGTTGAAAAATTATCCCATCTAGATAATGGAGATGCAGTATTTAGGCCTAGTAGAAAGGTTAATATAATAAAATTATAACATTATTCTCTTGATCAGAATAATTGTCATGTCACTTTGCTGGTCAGGATGTCCTTATTGTATTCATTTTTATGTAACTAGGGATCTGATCACTTGACTTTAACTTGGAAAGTCCTCGATGATATTTATCAGCACGTTGATATAAGGGAGGAAGGTAAAGTTAATTCATTTAGCCTTGGTCATTCTTTACGGATTGGTAATGAGGTGAGTGTATTAAACTGTAATATGAAAGAAATTTGAATTGAAAACTTTAAAATTAACAAAACTTTTAAAACTATTAGGAGTATGAAGATCTTGATGAAATCTTAGCGAGATATGTACAACCCATGGCTGCATTAACCAGAGACATAATTAATCACCGTTATTATTACGTAGCTGGTGATACAGAGAAAAAGGAGCTTGAAAAGTTACTGTTATCGGAGAAAAAGAAGCAACCTTCCCGGATTCCGTATCATTTTAGTGCTTCCAGTAAATATCCGGGAAAATTTATGCTAAGCTATTTGCCTCGTAATCATCCCTGCTATGAATATGTAACTGTAACTCCCGAAGGATTTCGATTTCGCGGGCGTTTACATGCTAAATTGGATGCGCTACTACATTGGTTTAAAAGGCACTTTAGAGATCCTATGCCGGGAACATCTCGTGGTACAAGTGTTAGCCAAGATACTCCTATGAATGCTGTTCCTCCGAATGTAATGCAAGCCGTAAATAATCTTACTAATATATCCCAGTCTCAACTAATGTCCACACTGCAAAGTATTCAACAAAAGGATGACTGGCTATCTAATAACAACGTTCCGACCTATGCTAATTACGGTTATCAACAACTTTCTACCGGAAATTCCGAGCCACAAAAGATTAATCAGTGGGAAAATAACTGGTCATCTACTTGGTCTGCACCAAAGCCTGCTGAGAATTTAAACAAAGATTATAACGACAATCACGATAGGCGCTGGGAAACACCACAGAGTCAGCAAAGTGATCAAAAAAGAGATAGCCAACGTCAATATGATAGAAGGAATAGAGGTCATAGAGATGATAGATACCGATCATATCATTCAAGACGTAATTAGAAGAGTGTAGATTAAATGACGTTTGTATAGATTGTTGTATCGATCACCCTTGGATTGCGTGATGTATTTTGTTAAGTTATTTAGACTAAACTTCTGCTTCTTGAGGCTACCACTTATCGTTGTAAAGTAACAGTTTCATTAAAAAAGAAGAATAAAAAGTTTGTAATGTTAAATATTCGATTTTTATCTTAATTAAAGTACGTCAATTCTGGGATTTTTGTATTTACATGATAGCCAAAAGTTGAATAGCTCGGTGTGCCCTAGCAACCGTATCTGTACCTGTATAAGAAATTAATTGTATTGCAGTACCTCAGCGCATCGTAATGTTAAAAATTAAATTTCTGCTAGAAAGTAACGGCTAAAAATTAATCAAACTCGTTTAATAAAGGACGCTTGTACAATTTACGTATCTTTAATTATTCAGTTATGTGAATATCTACTTTTGAACTGTAGTTTGCCGATCTATTTCTGCACGATGCTAGAAAAAGGCGAAATTTTTTTACACAAAATACGCATTGTTTAGTACACTGCCAATGATCTTTAACATGATATTTTGAGTCTCTATAATGTCTTTTGATGAATATCACCACATTACATCAGTTATTATACCTGTCGTTGTTCAGTATACTCATATTAGTTACGTGAAAAGTAGGTAGGATATAAGGCAATAAGTACGCAGCTTAATTAGTGTCTAGCTTAATGAATGGAAAGTTATCCATATGTCTTAGATGATTGCACATTTCAATATTGGTACTTGTCCGTTAGCCGAGAAAGCGCTATAAATAGTCCGATATGCAGCAGAAATTACTTTTACTAAGAAAACGTATACATTTAAATTATTAGCATCAGCACTTGTAATAGCAATGACAAGAGTAATCGCGATAGCAACTTACAACTATTACCATGCATCAAATTTATCACAAAAAAATGAACAGTATACACTAGATACAGTAATTATTTTTGGTCAAATGTACTGAGTAACATATATTATAAACTGTACATTACTTACATGCGAGTAAACCCGTAGAACAAATTAGGAAACAGTACACAGACATTTTTTGCTATAAGCTTAAATAAAACAATATAGTATAGAGTTGTGGCTATCCAATCTTTGAATATAGATCATATGCTGCATAAAATCGAAGCGTCTGTATGTATAACACGAAGCCAAAATTAATTTTAATTGGAAGAAAATCCCAATCCATAACCTCTCTGAGTATGAGTGAATACCCTGGCAGCATCATATTGTTGTTGTAAATCGTCTAACATCTTTGTACTTTTTTCGGGATGAGCATCCGTTGGCTTTAATATATCCTCTACATTTTCAATTTTATTAGGCTCCTTCGATTCTTCTGGACTGGCCATATCATCATTTCCTTTATTAGCCCCTTGATTAGTTATGCCCATCAATCGCTTAAATTTACTCATTCGATTAGTTGCTGAATCATCATCGAAAGCCACTCCTTTCCAATTGCCACTGGATCGCTCCTATCGTAACGCAATATGAAAATAGCGTTAAATTTTTAACTAACAATCAATCTATTTCATAGATATCATAGCAAAGATTAAGATTAGAGACACAATAAAACTTTAGTTGATATACGATTCTACAAATACTATTTGTGATTATTTTTTTATTAATTTAGTTAAATAAATGGATTATTTGAGTATAGCTCTTCATGATTTGAGTAGCACACGAATTAGAGATAGTTACTAGCCAGAAATTTCACTGATCTAATACGCATTAATGACGCGATACCTCCTTCTTTTTACCACTCCAAAGTAATTTCCTCTTCTGATTCTGAATCGCAGCTTTGGCTGCATTGATCATTTGACTACCATGTAATACACTCTTTAATAATGCTTCCTGACTAGTCTCAGCATCGGCAGAATTAACATTTAGTGAAGATTGGCCTATACATTACAGAATAAAAAGTAATAAATATTCGCGCAATTCCTGATTAAGATACGCGTAGATATTCATTATATCACTTAAGAATAGACTTTCATGATTTATGAATATCGCCAGCTTTGCTATTGAAATGTGTTCTTTAGTGTTTATAGAAAAATATAGAAACAGTGTATGTCAACCTGGCTTGGGCGCATTCAAGGTCCCACTACTAGATGACGACTGGTTAGTAGCTGGTAGTGCATTACTTTCTGTTGCAGCCTTGTTACTACTGGACTGCGATTCATCTCGATGGTCACTGCTACGATGGCTAGTATGCTCGCCGCCAGAACTCATTCTTCTGGAATTATCTCTCCCATGATAGTTACTCATCGCAGAGTGTTTACTATACCTTTTAGGACTAGTAGAATGGGATCGTCTACTACGATCGCGACGATGATAATCCCGATGACGATCAGATTGACGGTAATAAGAACGACTGTAACGCTGACGGTCAGGAGTTCGAGAACGGTCACGATCAGACCTTGAATGTCTAGCATGGCGATCAGGAGAACGATGTTCTCGTCCTGATTGGCGATAACGTGAAGAACCATTGTCTCTATGATGACTTCTTCTTTCATGAGATGGCGGTGAATAATTTCGCGACTGTGTTGAAGTTTTTCTTATTTCACCTTGGTCATCACTACCGGACCGTAAAGGTGAAGTTTCAGGCTTTTTTGTAACTTTATGGCTCGACTTTAGGTCGGTACTCTCATTATCATTTTTATTATCAACATCATCACGATTATGACTTTCTAAATCCTTTACCTATGAAACAAAAATGAGGCAACCTTCATATTGTAATTTTAAAGAGTGATAAGTTAGTGTTGCAGGCATTTTAATTAGACGGAGTAAAAGTGATTAAAATTACTTACGTACTGTATTATAATATAATTAACGCAATATTTTTTGACAGTTACAGGTAGTCCTACGCAATATACGTGACAAGAGGCAAATACTACGCATTATAATTCTTGTACTACAGACTTTTAATATCTGAATGTGGTAAGATGTAGCGTATTAGGTCTGAAATGACTACTGTAGACACCAGGTAGAACATTTTCAATACCTTTATAGTACAATATAATTATTACTCGATAACATGATTAGAATATGTAATCGTATAGATTGTAGGATCAATGGTGTAAACCGGTGATCATAAACATCTTTCATATCGTGTTGTGAATAAGAAAGCACAGCAAGTCATAGAAATAAAACATTTAATTAATAAAGAATAATTTTATTGGTAAGTCAGAAATACGGAGGTATAGTAAGGTTTGTGATTATTAGTTTTCCTATATAAGAAGAGCTTCAAAGTACAGAATGATTGGAAAAAGAATAGATGTTGTAAAGCCAGTCATTGTGTACATTAGCTAGCCGTTTTAACGTCCTAGCTTAAATATAAGCGGGACTCTACCAATCTCATGGAATGTGTTCGTATTATTAAATTATAATAAAAGACAGATCAGAAGTAAAGGGTTATTCTATACTATACTCGTAGTATACATTAGTAAGCTGTCTCCTGAAAGTCGTGTCCTAGAAGCCAACGAGTCTAACCTAATGTAGCAAGTACTAAAATGTAATAGGCAGGTTAGAAGTTAAGAATGATTGTATGTGGTAGCAAACTGTACTCTAGTAGTTAACGGGATGCTACTAACCTTAAGTAGCAAGTCAGTACTAAAATGTAATAAGACAGGTCAGAAGTTCAGGGATAAATTATTCTACCGTACATTGACTAACCGTTTCCAAAAAGTCGTACCCTAAAAGCCAACAGGATGCTATTAAGCTTGTGTAGCAATTTAGGGTTGTAAAATGTAATAAGATAGGTTAGAAATTAAGGATTATTCTTTGTGGTAGTGAGTCGTAATGTGTACCTTAACGCGATGATACTAACCTAATGCAGCCAATCCGTAGTGAACACAGTATCATAAGAAAGTCTAGACGTGAACAGTCAATGTAGTAAATCAGGAGTGAATACAGTATCATAAGAAAGGACAGAAGTGAAGGGTATTCTACGCGTATACAGTATTTGCACATTTCGTGAAGCATTTGCCCAACAGTCAACGGGATGCTACTAACCCAATGTAGTAAATCAGTAGTAAATCTAGTATCATAAGAAAGGCCAGAAGTGAAAAGTATTCTATACAGCATTTGTACATTAGTTAACCATCCCCAAAAGAGTAGTAATCTAAATGCAGCAAATCAGTAGTGAATACAGTATCATAAGAAAGGTCAGAAGTGAAGAGTTATACACTGAGTATACAGTACAGTATTGTCCTTTGGCTAATCAAATCTTTTTAAAAGCTGTCCTCTAAGAATCAACAGGATATTGCTAGCCTAATGTAGCAAAACAGTAAAGCATTAAAATGAAATAAGACAGATGAGAAATGAAGTTGTCCCCAAAGGCAATAGGACGTTACTACAGTAATAAAAGGCACCGATGGTTAAAGTTGTACTTCCTAAATCATGTAGCCGGTTGGTAGTCCATAGCTATCAGATCGGTCTGAAGCTAAGGGTTGTTTTCTCTCATGCAATCAAGCATGATACTGTAAAGTCAAGATATACTCCATGACCAACGTTGCAAGTAGTAGTTTTCAATCCATACTTGTAAGAATAAAGTACGAATGGAATCATATCTGTGACTATGTGATAGGAAAGTGTTTAGCTAACCTTTAGCAAAAGAGAGCAAATTGAATCAGATTGAAGCCAGCGAGATCTTACAAGTATGTAACATATACATATATATATATATGTAGAACACCATCAGCAGTTTTCAATCTATACTGATCTACTCTTTCAATGACATCAACAATGAAAGAGAATTGCTGTATTGACAAGAGTCACGTATGGATAAAACAGGTTAGAAACCATGATTGCTATCTGGTTGCTCATCCATTTCATAGCAGCATCGAAGATTCATGACCATTCTGTTACTGTAGGCCTGGGACTATTCAAAATAGTAGTCCCACGTCGTAGCATACAGGATCATCAATTATAGGAAAGAGGGCAAACTGAATCAGATTGAAGCCAGCGAGATCTTCTAAGTATACAGTATATAGTATATATGTAGAACAACAGCAGCAGTTTTTAATCTATACTGATCTACTCTTTCAAGGACATCATCAATGAAAGAGAATTGCTGTATTGACAAGAGTCACGTATGGATAGCACAGGTTAGAAACCATCATTGCTATCTGGTTGCTCATCCATTTCATAGCAGCATTGAAGATTCATGGTCATCCTGTTGCTGTAGCCCAGGCACTACTCAAAATAGTAGTCCCACGCCGCAGCATACAGGATCATCATTATAGGAAAGAGGGCAAACTGAATCAGATTGAAGCCAGCGAGATCTTCTAAGTATACAGTATATAGTATATATGTAGAACAACAGCAGCAGTTTTTAATCTATACTGATCTACTCTTTCAAGGACATCATCAATGAAAGAGAATTGCTGTATTGACAAGAGTCACGTATGGATAGCACAGGTTAGAAACCATCATTGCTATCTGGTTGCTCATCCATTTCATAGCAGCATTGAAGATTCATGGTCATCCTGTTGCTGTAGCCCAGGCACTACTCAAAATAGTAGTCCCACGCCGCAGCATACAGGATCATCATTATAGCAAAGAGGGCAAATTGAATCGGATTGAAGCCAATGAGATCTTCTAAGAATATATATATATATAGTATATACAGAGAACACCAGCAGCAGTTTTTAATCTATACTGATCTACTCTTTCAAGGACATCATCAATGAAAGAGAATTGCTACAGTCTATTGACAAGAGTCCCGCATTTCGTGGGCAGCCTCGAAGATTCATGGTCATCCTGTTGCCGTAGCATACACGATAATAATGATAGCAAAAAGAGCAAATGGACTGGGATTGAAGCCAGCAAAATCTTACAAGTATATACAGTATATATATATATATATATATAGAACATTAGCAGTAGTTTTCAATCTATACTGATCTACTCTTTCAACGATATCATCGATGAAAGAGAATTCATATATGGACACAGATTTCATGGCAGTATCGAAGATTCATGGTCATCCTGTTACCTTAGCCAAGGGACTACTTAAAATCGTAGTCCCATACCGTAGCACACAGGATAATAGCATGACATATCCACCTTAGTACAATTTATAAATCTACAGCAGTAATCGTTGTTGTAAGTTACCTTTCCTTCATCACTTTCAGACGAAGATGATCCACCATAGCCAACTAATAAGCTGGACGCCATATTACCATCCAGTTCTGTGGTGAAAGCTGCGCAGTAGAGGCCTTGATCCCCTTAGGGACGCTAAGTACGATTAGGCTGCGAAAAATTCCCTGGTACAGTAGAGTCCCTTGGTACTGTATGGGTACAATACTAAACGTTAGCAATACTTATGGCTACTGCGCAGCTTGGTCGTGCAAAATAAGATGTCACCCATTTCTTCTAGGCCAATCGTCGTTAACGCTCTAGTCTTGACCAGATATTCTCATTGGCTAACGAAGAATTTACACAGTACAGTAGCTAGTATCTCGCTAGGGGTGACATTATTTTTGCAAACAGCAATTTTCTTACAATCTACAGTACTGTATACTCAAGGACTAAATACTGTACACTGTACGCTACGATACAAGTAATGGGCGATACAGTATATAGTATTGTAATCTTCAGTCAATACTGTGTAAAGTACTGTAGCCGGGTGGGCATCGGGACTGACGGACTGCGGAAACGACTCGCTGTTGTCGTATTCTATACTGTATCGTTATGCTTGCATCGTGGTAAGAAACACTATGCTCCTCACATTATGACATGCTATCTGTAAACCCACGTGAGATCGAGCTGGCCGACGTTGTGCTAAAGCGCCTGTGCAGTACGCATATCGAGTGAGTAAGTGGATCGCAAGCTCGCCTTCCGGTGCTAATAGGAGAACTGCATCTTTCCTTCTTCTTCATCATTACTTCATTCTGTTGAGCTACAGAAATCATCGAAAGCATGGGAAAGGAAAAAAAGAAGGCAAGTAATCACATTGGTTATGTATCTTTTAAATGCTTAGTATTGCCTTGTATGAATCGATGGTTATAGACACTTATAATGGTTCATTTGAGCGTGGAATGGAATCGAGGATCGATGATGAGAATGATGATCGGCAAGAATCGATCTGCTGCATGAACATTATCATAGCATTATGACTACATTATTATAATTACGCCAACAGTAGTCAACTTTATCCTGATATTCTAGCAAAGATCAATGATGAGAATGAAAATTAGCACTGGCCCACCAGGCAATCTTTCGATTGAATCTACCTGATGTACTTGCAACATCATCGATGGCATACCATAAATATTGCTACATGACAGTACAGCTTGTTCAAGAATGCCGACAGTATCGTGATCTTCATGCAAAAGATGAATGATGAGAATGAAAACAACACTGATCCAGCAGGCAATCTTTGAATTGAATCTACCTGTTATACTTGCAACAACATCAACGGATCAATATTGCTACATAACAGTACAGCTGGTTCAACTACACCTACAGTAGTCAACTTGATGGTGATATTTAAGCAAAGATGAATGATGAGAATGTTAACTACCACTGATCCAGCTGGCAATCTTTGAATTGAATCGATATACAGTACTATCCTTGTAACAACATCAACGGATAATATTGCTGCATTGATAGTATAAACTCTTAAACTACAACTATAGTAGTCAATTATTATGATACTCAAACAAAGATGAATAATGAGAATAATGCCCAGCAGGCAATGGCTAATTTAATCTACGTGCTATACTTGCAACAACATCAACAGATAAATAGGACTACATTACAGTATAGCTAGTTTAACTACTGTACAACCATCGTAGTCAATTTTATTGTGATACTTAGCAGTAATGGCCAGCACTGGTCCAGCAGGCATTCTTGTAATTTAATCTACGTGCTGTACTTACAACAACATCATCGGATAATGTTGTATTGCAGAATTTACAGCAGAGCTTGTGCAATAGTGCCTACCTACGGTAGCCTATTTTGTCGTGAAATTCAAAGATCAATGACAAGAATGATACTAGCCAGCACTTATAACAAGATCAACGAATAAATACATTTATTACTGCATGGCAGTATTGCCTATTCTATGCATAGACAGTATTAGCCTTAGATTGCAATCGTGCTGATTCTGAATGTACCTGATATGCTTCATCTTTCATGCTTATATGGTCTTTTCTTCTAATAAACTAGGGTAAAAGTGGAGCTGCAACAAATTTCATTACTAGAAGTCAAGCAGTGCGGAAATTGCAACTTAGTTTGGCCGATTTTAGGTTAGATCATTTATTATTGCATCTTCCATTAATAATAAATAACCTTCACTACTGTTTGATATTGCGATATATCATATTATTTAACCCTAGCTATCATGTACGTACTTATCATGCTGTACCAATATCATAACTTGTTAAACGAGTATTTTCAAGTTGTACAGAATGGCAGATTTATCAATCCACGCAATACATTCTACCATTTACTGTATATTAAATACACTACTAAATAGCAATGTATCTCTATTAGTACACTTTTAATTAGCAATAGCAGTAGTAATACATTGTTATTGCATGCTCTATCTAAGTCTAGTTCGTGGTATTGTGCCCTGGAATATTTATCTACATGCTATACGTAGTACGTTGCATTCTTCAAAGGAAATGCTACCAACGAAGAACTATTAAAACATCGCTATTTGTTACAGGCTACACGAATTGCATACTATGGTGTTGTGCATATGTATACGGCAGTTACTATCGGTACTATTTGACTTGCACACATACAGTACCCGTATATCTACAAATAATGTAATGATGTGGATTGTTAGATTATAGAGCATTTGCTTTAATAAGAGACCATCTCATAAGCGAGTTATCAACTTTACTACTGCTGATACCATAATGCTAACACTACAACTGTATATGTACTCTATTTCAGACGATTGTGCATACTCAAGGGAATATATCCACACGAACCAAAGAATAAAAAGAAAGTCAGCGGTGGTGATACTGCTTTCAGGACGTACTATTACATTAAGGACATCAAATATCTTGCTCATGAACCAATTATTAATAAATTCAGAGATCATAAAATCTTCGTTCGAAAGTTAAGACGTGCAATCGGTCGTAAAGAAGACGATATCGCATCAAAATTAAATGAGAATAAACCGGTTTATACACTAGATCATATTGTGAAGGAAAGGTTTGTCATCATATCGTACAATGATAAAGAGTTTAGTGTGTTATACATCATTCTCTGCTACTAAACTTAACTACCGGAACTTTTAAGCTACAGTTACTACTATACTACATTCTGTAGATATTAATAAATAATAAGCCCAAGCTATCAGTATCATTATATTAGAAAGCTTAAACTATCGACAAAAAGCGATACAATTGGCTTAAATTTGTAACTATACCATTCAAACTAATTTATAGAAAGTCTGGTAGAAGGTTGCGTACAGCACGTATATTAAAATGCAAATACAATACTAGTAATCTCATATCAACATCTATTACATCAGACTTAGGCTTCCAGTTAGAAATGCTTGTATTTGCTAAATTTTCTAAATGCGTCTAATATAAATTGTAGAGCGCTAATTATTACTTTGCAAGAAATGTAAAAAAATCATGTAAACTAATTTAACATGAATAAATACTTTACAACAGATATCCCTCTTTTATTGATGCCTTAAGAGATTTGGATGACGCCATTTCAATGTTATTTCTCTTTTCTTCTATGCCTCAAACCAGTAAAATCCAGGCAAGTCTCAAGAATAATATTTAACGTAGAATATATATAACTACCGAAATGATCAAAATTTAGCTCAAATATAACCATGTAGACATTTTTAAAATTGCTTTTTGAACATATGATGCTCTATCTTACAGTCGATGTCCGTTTAAAATATTTATTCATGCATTCACGTCACGGACTAACTTTGTTTACCCAATCATAATAAACATGCATTGCTACGATACCATAGCACATTTTGACTATTGTACTTGGTTGTAACATTTTAGGGTGAAATTGTTGCCAAATGTAGAAAATTATCAGGTTAGCCCTCGTGTGATCTCTCGTTAGTTACAGTTGAAAAATGACCATATCGCTACAAATAAAAATCTGTAATACTTAAATAATAAATATTTTATTATTAACAATCTTCTAGCTGAATTCATGCATTATGTTATTCAATCTAGAAGTCTTCGTAAGGTAAGTAAATAATTTCGAATAATTTAATTTAAAGTTCAGTAACAGTGAACTATGTAAAACCTTACTGAGAATTCGTGCATAAATAATCCGATTTATTCCTTAGGTCTTTTTATCGATTAAAGGGATATACTATCAGGTAGAGCTACAAGGTCAAAATGTAACGTGGATAGTGCCTTACAAGTTTTCAGAACAGGTAGTGTACATGAAGAACACATACGAATTTGTTTTTATTAATTAGCCTTTTTTTCTCCGATTAGCCAAATCATAACTAATAATTAATATTAATAATTTTCTCTAGGTTCCTTACGACGTTGACTTTCGTGTTATGCTTACCTTTCTTGAGTTCTATATTACTCTTCTTGGCTTTGTAAACTTCCAGCTGTATCATAGTATCAATTTAAAATACCCCCCTCAGGTTCTATTCATATGTTTTTCGTACGATTTTTTTATAAATTGCAACTCTCACTTCCAATTTCCGATATTATACAATCTGCACCTTCATTGATATCAATAATTCATTATTACAGCTAGTACGTGATAGAGCAGCTTTAAATCATGTAGCTGTGGAAAACTATTGTATGAGCGATGAATTAGAGGATGAGGTTAGCATTCAGCACTGTATAAGAACTAATTTCATTCAATTTTGAAAAACGTAACCTTAAGACATTGTCCAGAGTTGTACTTTCTGACTAATTCCTCTCTTGCGCTAACATGGAATGTATATACATTTTTAGATCTTAATTGCTCTCAATCAAGATATAACCAAATTTGAATCAGGTATGCAATTGTACTTTTCATTTTGTGATTAATTACCGAAAAAATAGTCTTAGCGAACTTCTATCTCCTTTGATTTATTCATGTAGCTGAATCTGATACCCCGGAAATAGATGAATTTCCAGTTGACACGGTAAGATATTAATCAAAATGACTGCTTTATATGCCATTAGCTAATGTATATGCGTAAAATTTTTTCATTGACACCTTTATAGATTGATGAAGATGCCACTCAGATGAAAGAAAAAATGGAAGAAGAGAAAAAATTTTCAAAATTATTCGAAGGACTAAAATTTTTCTTATCGCGAGAAGTTCCACAAGAAGCACTGGTGTTTGTAATTAGGTTAGATATTCTAAATTTAATCGGGTGTTTCGTGGCTAGAATAACCGTTAGAGCACTTAATTTCTCAACTAATTTCATACAGATGCTTTGGAGGTCAAATTTCTTGGGATTCACTGACTTCTATTGGAGCTTCATATGAAGAAACTGATGAAAGTATAACCCACCAAATTGTGGATCGACCATCTCAAAAGCATCAGTTTTTATCTCGGTAATATCTTAATAAGGTTTTCCTATAATGTGTTAATAAGTACTTTTTTTTTGTTCGCTGAGAAAGAATCCATGTCTTTACAACCTTAGGTACTATGTTCAACCTCAATGGGTATTTGATTGCGTTAATGCCCGAACATTACTCTCAGAAGTTGAATACTTAGCTGGTCTGTATTTAATTTTAAATATCTGTGTTACATCTTCTTAAGGCATAAAGTAAACGAATCTATGAGCAATAAACCTTGTGAATTTATGTTACTATTAGGTATCGTTCTGCCGCCTCATTTGTCACCATTTGTAGTTGAAGAAGAAGGGGACTATGTCCCTCCGGAACGACGACAGTTGCTCAATCAAACAAGTGAAGAAGTGGAAATAGAAGAAGAGAATAAAGGTACGCATCCTTAAATTTTTTTAAAATGTCTTACCTATATTACTCAAGCATGGCATTACAGTTTAGTTAATGAGACTATAAATTACGTAGGCCTATCTATCCACCCTTCTCAGGAGAATGAAGGGAATAAAAGAAATATCGAAGAGGTACTCGAAAGCGACTCCCCAAAGGTGATATTACTTTACCGCTTTGAATAGTAATACCAATGTCATATTGCATTAAAATCGAAATCGATAACGTAGCTATTACTGCTATTACAGGCAAAGAAAGTTGTTCCAGTTATTAAAGCAGGAAATAATAAGGCAACCTCCAAAGATGTAGTCGACTCTAGTGGCAGGACTAAAGAAGAGAAAAAACTTGCGATAATGGCAATGACTAAAAAACGGCGTAGGCTTTACGAAAGAATAATGCATTCCAGGAAACAAAAAAGAGCACAGGCATGTTCAATGTTCTAAAGTGTAATAAAATTGTTTATTGTTGCCAATTGGACCACTCTTTAATTTTCTCATGATTACTCATGTTTTAGGTCAAAAAGCTTGAAAATAGAAGAAAGCAATACGAGATGAAGCAAACGTCTGCAAATTAACTATGAATTAAAGTTATTGGATTATTACTGACAATTTAGGAAATCTTATGCTATATGCACATTTAATTGCTATTTTTAGATTCTGTAAAATACTAAAAACCGAATCGATATAAAAGCAATCACATGAATAAATCTGTCTTTTAGAAATGCCGTTGCTTTATAAGTATTGGGGGCTACTAAAAGATGCATGTTTATTGCGATATAATCGATCTAATTATATTTTTTGATGGATTCAGTTGTTGTAGTTGAGATAGTTATAATTATCTTCTGTTATATCAGAGAGCAGCAAAAAGTGTATAGTAACTTGTCATGCAGGTATATTTTCCAGTTTTACTATATGCCCTTAGTACTCATTAATTGAAATAAAGTCGAACTACATTGGAAAATAACATAAAAATGCAACAATACGCTACTGTGGCGTTTAATCTCACATCCTCTTATTATCAAGTATTAGAATATTATTAAAACATCATCAGTGCGAAATAGTCTGCTAATTTTTATACATGTCCCCGTATCCTTAAATGAGGCCGCTCTATTAATTTCTTATATACTCATAAACATGGCTGTATTGTTTTATTTCGAAAATAAATTGGTTTTGGGAAAGGATACGGAATATGTATAAAAATGGCGAGGTCTACCGCACAATTTGAAATGCTCATGCTGAAGATACGAAATTAAAAATGCGATTCTATCGTCTACGGATCGAAACGGACCAGTGGAAAAGTCGCCGTTTATAATCTAATCTATTTTATAGTATCAGTTTTAACCGTTTAAATCAGAGGCAATAGCATACCTGTATTTATACAGTACTTACTGTTTGTATCAATCTAATGAAGCATGTATTAAGTTAAAATGCATCAAGGACTATTGTGTAGTAATACGAACTAAACAACTGATAAAGCTCAGCTTGGTAAACAAAAACGTTAATAATATTAGGATCATTATGGAAAGTATATAACGCAATACAACAAGACTAATCAAATTTGTACAAGTAGATTTTCAACGATACTTCATTTCAAATATTTTCATTTTGTAGATTACCCTATCTACAACAAATTACATCTTTCTAAATCTATACCGCTAGGTTAGTTAAGTCATACTTTTAGCCAAGAACATTAATGCCACTATAATTTCGTACCGAATATACCGTATATACAAATAAATTTCCATTGTAAAATAAATATAGCAAGAGCAACATACAATATGAAGAAATTGCATTGTTAAATTTGGTCGGTGAGTTCACCAAAATAAAATTGGTAATTGTTGAGAATATGAACCAGTTATGTAACATTTAGAGCGATAATTAATTTTCAACATACTGTAGCATTGATTTTATCATGAACAACTGATGAAAGGTTCCACGTTTTTTGATGTATCTATATAGATTAACGTGAGCGAAAAGCATAGAGAAGTAAAAGTATGATACAGGTTGAGATTACACATCCTAAAATGATACTGTCCCTCCTTTTGCGAACGTTTACGCGTTGTATTAAACTGTTGACTAATGGAAAGCGATCTGATAGTAACATGATGTTAAGAAAACATTTATAAGCAAATGAAATCGGCTATTATTCAAGACTAGAAAAGGTTTATAGCACTTGCATTAGTCATTACCTAATAAATTAATAAGAAAGAAAGGATACTAGCAACGTTGGACAGCCTATTGGTTATACCGCCTAGCATCTTCCGCTGGGAATGAAGATTCTCCTTCGTAGCCATGGCCATACTAAATAAACATTTACTATTAAAATCGTTCATAAATGATCAATGACAGCAGTTTAATTGAAGAATTACTTAATGGCTTCATCAGTTAATCTTTCAGAACTGCATTGTCAAAGTAGATCCGGTTATAACGTTTGCATGAAAATCATTAAAGAAGAAAAACAGTTAATATGAAAAAGTGCCAACCACAATAAAGCCTAGGATGCATTTTAAGCGATCAAGTAAGTACCTTCTGATATGCTCATTTTCTTTTAAATATAAATCAGTTTTTCTATTTGTAGCTGCACTCTTGTATCGACTACACAAATAACAAGTCAATAGTATCCGCTATATTAAATATCCAGGATTGTGATCTCAATGAAGCCTATATCATAGGTAGCTACTCATGGGATAAACAACATCAACGTGCAGCAAGTAATTGATGAAAGCAAGATAATTATTAGCTTACTGTATATCATTCATAACATCACCGAGCAATTCCTCCCTTTCTCTACACGTATTAATATTGTCCTAAAGGAGAGCAACAACAAAATGACAACATAAGAACAATTGTTACAAGTAAAGCATAGATGAATAGAATGCTTAAAAATAACATTAGAATCCAGCCTACTTACTCTAGTTTTTCTAAATTCTTGTCTATAATCTTGTAAGATATCACGATGACGTTGAAGTGTATGAACAAGTGTAGTATTAGGAGAAGCATGACCCATGGCATTGACATAATCCGACATATTATCATTTACATCTTGTAACTAAAATATTGTAGTAAAAGCGATTAGTACCGTCCACAAATTGTCATTGTGATAAAGAATCAGACTGGATTAATAAAGAAATATGAGGTAAACCTTGGATAAGAGTTGTTCAATCTCCAATGCCATTGTATCTACCATGTGTTTACTATCATCGCCGAGCAAAGGTGTTGAACTTTGAGCACTAGCATAGACGAAATAGAGAAAAGAAAAGGTAGTCATTTCACAACTGTTCTCAATCTTTGCAGGACGATCTCTCGTACGTCCTACAAATCGGTCTTGCTGTAGATAGCATCCATCATACCATTAGCAGCGCTAAAAATGTAACCAATGTACATTTCTCTACTCATAGAAAATCAATAAAGTTGATACGATATAGCACATCAATATCCTACTTCATGTTATGGCATAAAATGAGTGCGCCTATTGATCTCAGATATCCGTGACCTATCTGCACAGATATTTGTAAATTTGATCTTCTTTTGAATCATTTAGTACCTTTCATTTTTTGTTCCTCGAATGTTATAATTGGTATTGGTACCTAGCCTACTAAATGATACCAGCTTGAGGTCGATAGTGCTTTCTAACGATCGAGCTTTGCGTCTTGATTCTATCAGGAGAAATAGTAGCAATGATTGATGATTATCGGGTATCCATCTTGTATATATACATGCACAACATTCATCAAAGACAAGAAGAAGAAATGTTGTTGGCTATGAAAGCAAGTCGCATGCTAGTCATGGATTGTAATCATCATTTGGCATGTTTGAAGCAAAGATTACGACTGTCTTATTGATTATCATAGTACAGCACTACAACATCCTACTGATTGTACTTGACGATGGCGACTGACTGTGGAAATGTATCTGTAAAGAGTATGCATACGTCTACACATTACATCATTTATGTCCATTGAAGGATGGCCTGTCATGAATAGGACTTTAACAGTCATCGATCCATGCTATACTAATTATTCAAGACAAATGAATGGTAAGATAGCACCTAGACTAAATAGAGGAGTTGATTCCACTACGCTGGAGGATTCTCCTCCATCATGACAACATGATCCATTGGAACAGCCCATTGGATTAGCTTGAATGTCATCATCATAGTTCGTGGACAACAAACAGTTATCATCATCCTTACTACGACAAGACCCTATCTGATTTACTCAAGTATGACTGAAAAAAGGCTACAGATCGTCAAATGATGGAGAAATGGCTTACCTTCCCAACGGTTTGTAGGCCCAGGAACGTCCATGTTCAACATTCCGGTCACTTTGGTCCCTGTCGCTGAAGTGGATGACTTGACGTGCCGTTCTGGGCCGTACTGTACACGTCATACACTCCAGTACAGTGTTGTGCATCGCGCAGTAGCACCACAACAGGAAGTGGACTGTCCACTGTACAGTGTACAGTACTGTTGCTACAGTGTACAGTACAGGCCAGTACTGTACTGTACTGTGACTTGACGTGCCGTTCTAGGCCGTACTGTACTGTACACGTCATACACTCCTGTACAGTGTTGTGCATCGCGCAATAGCAACACGACGGTAAGTGGACTGTACTGTACTGTTACTACAGTACTGTATACAGTGTCTATCAAAGTACTTCGTCACTTTGAAAAGCATCAACCAGTGATCTTAATAAGTAAATACTGATTATTATTATATCATTCTATTATAGCTATACTGTATTTTTAAAGAAAAATATTGCCCGAAAGTGACAAAATATTATGGTACCTGTACAGTGACTTGACTTGACGTGCCGTGCCGTTCTAGCCGTACTGTACACGTCATACCCTCGTGTATACAGTACTGTACAGTGTTGTGCATCACGCAATAGCAACACAACGGTAAGTGGACTGTACAATACAGTACTCTTACTACAGTGTACTGTACATAGTACTGTACAGTGTACAGTACAGTCTCCAAAAGTCACCATGCACTTTTGGAGTGTTTTTCCAGTCGCGGGCATGCCCAATTGCAACGCATCGACGCTGTATGGTCATAGCAACAGAACAGGACAGTACGTACAGTACATACTGTACAGAGTACTGTACAGTCTCCAAAAGTCACCATGCACTTTTGGAGTGTTTTTCCAGTCGCGGACATGCCCAATTGCCACCCATTTAGCAACGTCACGGTAAGTGTACCGTCTCCAAAAGTCACCATGGACTTTCGGAGTCTTTTTCCAGTCGTGGACATGCCCAATTGCCACCCATCGAAGCTGTACAGTATGGTTATAGCAACACCACGGTAAGTGTACTGTACTGTACTATACAGTACTGTACTGTTACTACAGTGTACGGTACTTTACGTACAGTACGTACTGTACAAGTGTACTGTACACTGAGTGTACAGCATCCAAAAGTCACCATGCACTTTTGGAGTGTTTTTCCTGTCGCGGACATGCCCAATTGCCACCCATCGACACTGTATGCTTAAATGATCAGACCACTCATGCGCTTTGTCATTTCCGTTTCAACAGCAAGTTGAAAAAAAAAAACTTGGGAAATAATCTTTGGGATCACCGAGATCGGATTTCCCAGTAATAATGAACACTAGTAACGAAATTGCTTACTAGTAAAGTGAAAAATGAGCCATTGGCCAACTCTACAGTAAAGAGAGATGATACTAGCCGAATGGTACAGTGTACTGTATATAACGTATATAAATACGATCAGTCTTTTGTAGATTATCCCTATATGAATAGTACAGACGTACAGTACTATTTGCCCTGTATATTAATAATAATGAATGTATTATTCATTAATTCATAATGTACAGTATGTAGATATGGTTAAATTTAATTTATTGACTAGCTCGTAGCATCTTCTTTTACCCGTTGTAGTCAACAGATAAAGGTAATTTTTACCTCGACAGTACCACTCTTCAATGAATAGTCAATGAAGAATGGATTATATCTGGTGAAATAGGTGCTTTGACTGGTCTACAAATACATCAAACGAACAATCCTATGAGGATAGTCTATGACACATATACTGTACTGTATATCGCAATGTAGACAATCTTGTTCATTCATTCATTCCACGTCAAGTCATTCGAGCAATGATCATCCTAAAATGACGATGGTCTACAGTGCTGTGCTACTTATATGTGTGTGTTAATAGGGATGCCCATTTAGTATTTGTGCCAATCCGCCGTGAATTACTCATGATGGCCTTCAATACTGTACTATTGCAGCGTTCAATCAATCAAAATTTCAAAAGAAAAACACGAACCAATCAATTACTACGTATCCGTATGTCGATAATTCATTTTCTGCCAGTATACTGCCATTATAATTAATTCATAAATTGAATCAATTTATGAAAATTAGTAGATCCAAAACGAAATACTTTCACCGTGTACTCATTAGTCAATAAATGATGAATTCTCCTATTGAAACAGTGAGGAATTGTACGATATTTAACCATGTTGGAATATTAATTACACTGGTGAAGTGTTCTACAAGTAATCAGAAAATTGTAGATGATAATGACGACTAATACACAGTACTGTCCATTGTACGTATATCAGTACGTACTGTATGTGTCTTAAGCAATGATCCATTCATATTAAGTCCTAAAGTTTGTGCTAACAACGAAATAGGAGAAAATAAATTGAAACACTGCTAGAGAACGTTGGAGAAAATATACACATAATCATACCAATACTAACTCATCATCAAAGATCTGGACCTTGCATACAACACTTCACAGCAAATAATATATTTTGTATCCAAGAATCTCGTTATCATACTATACTCGCGTATGTGTCCATATATTTAGAATTGTGTGTGTTGTGATGAAGTGTTGCCGTCATCTAGGCTTAAAGAGTTATTCATTAATATTCAAAGTGTATCTTTAAACGCATAATTAGATATAAATGACATGAATGTAATGTATAACTTAGATGCGTCCACAACCATTGGTCGAACATGGATATCACTCATGTAAAATTCGTCCCATGGATTATAAATTAATCTCTGATCTGTATCTACATTAATGAATCAATTAAGCAATTATGGTAAGCCGCAGATTTACTAGATCCTAACTTCATTCATCCATTGAGCTATAAATCTAGTCATGATCTAGAATATCTAGGCATACTGAAATTGCTATAAAATGGATCAGCAGCGCAGTATGTCACGGTAATAAGATTATTGAAGCTAGAATTACTATATCAAACCAATACACTCACAATTCAAGAGTCCAGCTAAACGATTTCTTTTATTGATGTTTGCATATCGTATAGTTGTGGTGGTGAAGCAGTAGCTAGAGCTAACGTATTTAATTCAGTTCCATTGGATGATAAAAGAGGATACATCAATATGGCATGGATTCTACAAAAACTGCAGACTAACATAGATAACTTCTTTTAACTCAATCGATATTCGACACTGAACATAATCCTAAATTGCAGAATGGCATCAACAACATATACCATAGCCAAATTACTCAAATGGTTCTGTAGTGAAGTTGAAGTGTTTAGCAAAATTATCTATAGTCTCATGGGCTTCTTGGTAATGTGCTCCCAACTTTGCAATAACTCGCTCTCTCCATGCCTTCACGTTGGGTCTTTTCTTGCCAATATCAATACCGAGGTGATCTAACTGACTGAATTCACAAGCTGCAAATATATCACCAATACAAATTTCAGAACCCCCAATGTATGAACGATCCTTAACGAAGTAATTCTCGAACATATTGAGAGCTGAGGTTAATTTTTCTTTGGCTTCCTTTATGGCAGCTTCATTCCTGGGTTGTTGCCTCACCTTTGCTATTATCGCCTAATCGATATTATTTCATAATTAGACGGCTATCTCGCAGTTTTATAGAGTCCTATAGTTGATTAATCCATCCTAAATTTTATTCAATCAATAAAAATTAGCACTCACCACATTATAAAATACTCCGCCAGCACCACCTCTAGTGTTGCTATGATGCCAACATAGATACTCGTTAACTCTTGCTCTAGTTGCAGTATCCTTAGGATACCAGTGTTCAGGCGTGGAATATTTGGCAGCCAAATACTGAACAATAGCTATACTAAATAATTATACGCGTATAGATCAGCAAGTATTAAGACCAAGGGTATCAACCGAATGAAAAAGGCACAAGCGTAATGGCAAATGTTAATAATTCTTCCATGTGATCTTAAAACTATAATGGCTACTGTTAGTGCACTTGGTACATATCGCAGATTAGTGAAAAGCTCCAATTCCTATACGTATAACATTTATTCTGTACTGTACATGCTGCACTGTATCTTTTAGTTATTACCCTTCAGCAAGACAAAAATCTCCATCCTTAATGGCTGGAACTTTCCCAAAAGGATTAATCTTCAAAAAGGCTTCTGTCGACTGTTCCCCTACACAGATATACAGTATATTATTGACAGTATCCTAATATGCTTATCCATTCAGATCGTAGGAAGTGCAATGCACGGCATATTGATTGACGAGACTTAGCTTGCATTTGAAAACTTTAATACTACGAATCATAAACGTATCTGTACCTTTCGGTAAATCGATAAAGTGATAGTTGAAAGGGATATTGTTGGCTTTCATGAAGATTTGTACAGCACGACATGGCTGTGATGCAAGATGAGCATAAAAATCAACGCTGGACATTTTGACTTGCTTCTCTCTGGGCGGATTCAACCAATGTAAAATCAGCTAGACTAAACGGCTAAACCTATCAAACTGCACGAAAATACGGTCATACAGTACAGTACAGTACAGTACTAGGATGTTTCTCTCCTATTAAGCACTCTAATTAAAATGTCAATGTTCCGTAAACAATAAATAAAACATACTAAAGTATACTTTAAAATTCTTTTGTACACACAGTACACTACATAATTTATTAAAACAGTCTTTAAAAAAAAAAGGGTAGAAAAGTGACCGTGCTGACGAATTTTACGTATAGCACTGTGCCGAATGCAGCCCGTAAGTCTAGTAAGACATTCGTTGGAAAGGTGCGATAACTGATGATTTGAATCGAACCTTCAATTCTTCAAATACAGCAACATATGAAATAAAATGGCAGTTAAGCCAGAAAGTTGATACAACTTTATGGTAGCATTCGTGCCACTACTGGCGTTTCTATGCAAATCATGATAATTCATTAATTGTGAAATTACTGGATGCCATTTACAGTAACTATGCTCTAGCTTCATTATGAAGGAGGTGTCTTTGCATCTTATACAAATTATACCTGTGCAGTCAGTTATTAACAAGTTGTTATTATTATTTATTATTATGATCTACTCTACTCCGCTTATAGCACTTTGCGTTAGCATATACTGTCGGTTATGAACAACAGCAACAACGACTAAGGCTTATTTGATTATGATCTGTAATTATTTAATCAGGAGCCTAAAATTTCTTTTCAACATCATGACGCAGCAGATTTATTAAGGATCAACAATTGATAATTAATTTATTGACAATAAAAATTTCTACAAATAAATAAATAAATGATTTCATGAATTTGCAAGAGTCCACCACACCAATTGGAACTATGCTTTTTACACAACATTTCCGGCTCATCTACAGTAGTTATTCCTGTGAGCTTTCGCTGCAGGTATACAGTAGTAAACTTCAGGCTAATAATAATAATAACAAATAAATATTGTCATGATCGTGAAGTTTTATCCAGCAGAGTCATTAGCCCATCGACCATTTGCAGAACTTGGCTGTACCAACGCAACATAGAAGTACTGTACTGTACAGTCCAAAAATGGGAACAGAGATGACCGTCTGTATGTCTGTTGGTCTGTGCATATGGACACACTATACTGTACTATGGTTGCAGTAAAACGAGACTGCCACTGCGCGATCAGTTCCTTTACCTTCTTGCCTTTCTATTTTCACCACTCACGCTGACTGCTTGAAATAGGAAAATGTCGAAAATCGATTTCTACTCTCACCTTGTCTCACCTCCATGCCGTGCGGTCTATATGTTTATGACTGCTAACGAAATCCCATTTGAATACCATAAAATCGATCTCATCACAGGTACTAGACTAAATTAAAGCGATACTGTATAGCGTAGATTGTTTCTTGCAACGGCATACGTATTTATAGACGAGTCAAGATACCCCAAGGTAAATGTATTATTCTTGCATTTCCAACCCTTAGCTCATGATAACTTGTTATGAAGAATAATTTCGTAGCGTAAAAACTGGAGCTTATATTAAGCCTGCTTGACATTCCATGATCTTCTTACTGTTACATACTGTAGTACAGTATACTAAAGCGTTCATCAAACCTTACCATGGCTTTTCAAGTAATAGTTACTGGTAGACAGCAGATTAGCCATAGGCATATGAATTATAGTATGCATCCATTTTGCACTACACCACTGTCTTAGGTTACGAAGAATTATAGACCTACGATCTCCACACGTACTTCATTCCTCTAGCTGAAGTCAAGTTTCTCCAGATACTGCTAATTAAATCAACTCCTGCTTGTATTTGTAATATTGTACCGGAGTTGCACTTACCCTCGTGCATATTAAAAATGAAATTAAAATCATTCTAGTTAACAAGAGCAAAAGTAAAATAAGTCAATAAAGTAACTGAAGGATTTCTATTTTGAAGATAATAATTCAAAATTAAAATTTCCCTAACATTACAGGTGAGCAAAAATCTGAAGAATACCGTAAAATCAATCCGCATCAAAAAGTTCCCGCATTGAAAGATGGAGACTTTTTCCTTTCCGAAAGGTTGGTACGACTGCATCATAATTTACATGTAACAAAATAGTAGCTCAGTTTCTTTATATTACATTTGATCAAGTTCTTAGTACTACTGTACCACTTCTTTTATCAACCAAAAATAACATTCGTAAAGTTGATTTCCACGTCCAAGAAATTTTGCGGCGAATATTTATTGTCTACTCAATTGATGTTCTAGTTTAAATTAATACCAGATTATGTATTGCTCTCCGCTGGCTTCGCTCTTACGACTTACTTATATCACACACGTCATACGGTCGTAATCAATCTCAACTTTCTGTTATGTATGAAGAAACACTTCTTATATATATAATTATCGATAAAGCTACGGTTACTATTTTACAGTATCGCAATGATTCAATTCCTGGCTCAAAAGTATGAGACTCCAAATCACTGGTATCCTACTGATATAAAACGAAGAGCTAAAATCGACGAGTACCTGTCGTGGCATGACAACTGCCGACAAGCAACAGGAATACTATTTTACTTTGTGGTAAATATTGTGCTATTGTAAATCAAACGTTGTATATCAAAATACCGCAATAACCATGAAGATCCATTATCAATTTAGTAACATACTATTTAACTGTACAGAGATGTACTGTGCATTATACTGTACATTAATATATACATAAGCCACGGATGGAGCAGATTTTTACTTATAAAAAGAGTTCTAAACAGCATGCATACACAGTAGTCTTCACACAAGAGCCACTTTTGCTCCCCGTAAAATCGCTCTCCCAACAACATCATCTATATTGATACGCTAACCATGTTAATCATGCATCCGCTAAAATCAATCGAGACATTAAGCAATAGATGCGTTGATGCAATTACTTAGCGTAAATGGACTCTGCCCCTATCTTAATAATCTTATCATTTCCCATTGTGGTATAGAATATACAGTACTGCACGAAGCATTTAGATAAACTATATGTTGGATAATTACAAAGTTAATCTGTTCTTCCGTTCTTCGTAATAGGCTGTAACGACCAGTTTAAGAAATGAACCAAGAAATGAAGGACTTATCAGTGAGAGAAAAACAAAATTAACAGCAGCACTAGACTTGTTTGAAAAGTACTTCCTTAAAGATTCTGACTTCATCGGTGGCAATGAAATCTCCATCGCCGACGTTGTATCAATATCTGAATTTAGTCAGATTGAATATATTGGCATTGACATCGGTAAGCACAGACCAAAAGTGAAAGCCTGGAAAGAACGAGTCGTTGCTAGTCTGGGGGCTGCTTTCGAGTCTGCCCACCAAGTTTTGGACCAAATATTTAAACCACTACAAATCAAGGAAGAATTCGAGTAGACGGCGTTACTCACCATTCGGGCGATACAGAGTACAGTGCAATGGACACACGATATCACTTTGGCTCTGTAGTTATCATGCATGTATTGTCCGTTCTTTGCGGACTCACTGTAATTCGATAACAAGAAGTAAATGTGCCTCTAGTTTTGTATAACCTGGTTATAAATGTGTTTTAATTCGTATTATTGTAGTATGTGTTAGTCGATGTGACTGTGACTCTTCTACCACGATAGACACTCAGCGCTTCATTTCATCATCATATATATACTGTATAATGTACCGCTTAGCTATGCGTTCAGTAATTGCTAATCTATCACTTTGTATGCCTCACAAGAGAAATGAATTAATAGAAATAAATCGTTTATTAAAGATTTAACCTATGCGTATTCAGTATATGGGCTTAATATTAAAAAATGTCATTATATCGTTAAACCTGTGAAACCTATATCAATATCTGCGAATGCTCTCGAACGGTGGTACAGCAGCTACTTGCTGATGCGTATACGCAAGCCAAATTATTACCAGTTAAGGTATTCTTGTAGATAATTACTGTGTGTAGCTCTAAAGACGTTAAGAAATACTAAATCTAACAAGCTTGCGCATAACTGCGTTCCGAGTTATATCCGTACCCCACGCTAAATCCGATGCCGCATTTTACCTATCCATATGAAGAATAAACAATCAATAAAGGCACTAATCCTTTCGTCCCAATGTAATGAGTGCAAGATGATAGGAACTAAACTAAAATATATTGAATTTATGTGTAGAATAACAGTAGTAAGTAATTAATAAGAGATATTACATCTCGAGAATAGGAGTTGCAGAGCGAAGTAGAAATACCTAAAAGTCAATCTATTAACAACTTGTATAATTGATCAGACCAAGAATTATTTTCTTAAGCTGAATATGTCAGTGTGCACATCATCGAAATGGGGTTGCAAAGCCTGCTTGCATCTTTCATACCAATCGGCAATTTTTGGCCTATCTTTACCAGGTTCGATTCCAATTGCAACTAGCTGAGTAAGTTCATTAAGTGCCATAATATCGGCAATCGACATTGTATTTGAACTGATAAATTCTGTACCCTTCAGGTAGTAACTCTCAAATGCATCCAACATCTTTTCAAACTTTTCCTTAGCCTCTTGTACTTCTTCATCACTTACTTCGATTTTAAGATAACGTGGTTTTATAAACTATAGGGTAATGTAATGGAAAAAATTACGTAAAGGTAAAGAATTTGCAACATGAATTACGTATAAAGTATATCTAATGTCCACAGTATGGAACTGTACTGTACAGTAACAGTATAGTATATTACTATCCTGGGTTAGGATTTTTATCGATAGCTTAATCAAGGCAATCGACATGTATCCTAATTATTTTGGTTTCGTATTTACATTACCAGAGGTATGATACTGTAAGATCTAAACAGCCTTAAATCTGCATATTCGTAACTAGCGTCATACTGTACGTGTACGCGTATACTATAAGTACTGTACAGTAATGAAGAGCTTACCAAAGCAATGAAATATCCAGTAGCTCCGTTTGTCCTAGTGTTAAAATGATGCCAAGCGAGATACTCATTAATTCGAGCTCTGGCACGGATCTCCTTTGGGTACCAATGATCAGGAGTCGAATATTTTTTAGCCAAATATTGAATCATGGCTACGCTGCATAGGTAAGGTAAACAGAATGCGTTAAGCAGATCATACTTCCTTAAACTGACATTAAGATTTAGTGATCTTTTTAAGCAAACCGTGAGCAAGTAACTGATGTGAGAATTACAACAATAGCATGCACTATTGCACTTTGATTCAGTAGGTAGATATTGCACAAAATAATCATTAAAGTATACCTTTCAAATAAAGAGAATTCATCGTCCACTAAAGCTGGTACAGTTCCTGTTGGGTTAATTTTTAGGAACGATTCAGTGCGATTATCACCTAGAGATACATTAACGAGAAGGAAATTTGTTAAATGCCTTGGTGGAACCTAGAAATCATCCTTCTTACCAAATGGCCAATCAAATATATTGTATGTGCATATACGGGTATGTAACATGTGTTATTACGCCCATTACACACTTTATTGCTGCTAATAATTAATGAATCATAGATATCGTTTTTTATGATTTCAGTCGTTTCATTTATATCTAAAAACACAGAACAGTACTTATTTACCAAATAGGTAAATACCATAAAATACCAAGTAAATATCAAACAAAATAAAATATTTTTCTCCGCCAATTCATGACTGAGTAAATTGTTGACCGTAAGTTAATAATATAATCATCGGTAAGTGATAAAAAGCCTATTTTTAATACGGTTCTATTTCGACGGTACCGAGCTGCACAATAGCCTTAGAAGAAAATCGAGAGGTACCGCACATGCACATTTTTTGTCTTTATGTCAGTCTTGACTCCAAAAAAATGGTCGGATCAAGTGCATTCGATGATCAATTCAGCGGTTTGATTACTATTATATCTTGTATTAATGATTTTCTCCACTGGAACAATCTCGTGGCAGTAGCATGTACGCATTTTGGAAGAAGCAGTACGATCATAGAAACCGCATGAAATGAGATACCATTTCATGGAAGTCATGATGGAATAAAGAAACATATAATACGATATGGTGCAATTGGAATGAAGTAAACGAACTTTGTAAAGCAATATGCCAAGCGCAGAAATATGAGCGATGATCTGAGATGCACTTTAATTTTTAGTTAGCAAACACCAGTAAGCTACTATTTCAATCCAATACTGTAACAATCTTATATGACTAGTCAGTAGTCACCGCTTACCTTTAGGAACATCAATTGGATGAAACTCATACGGAATATTATTAACCTTTAGAAATAGTTCGACAGAGCGTGCTGGCTGAGAAAATCGATTGGCATGAAGATTAATTTTACCCATAATCGTTGAGCTACAAAATAAAGTTGAACATACGCGCATTACTACCACTCACTACAACATTTCCAGCCAACATCGATACTCTATTATATCACTAAGATTAATTCAATCTAATTAGAGCAAAAAGACTGCCAAAAGGCTACATTACCCACCTATCAAATATTCAGTACTTGCTCTTGATAAATCTCCTTGGCGATTTTTCTTACCAATCTTGAGCTACGTAGCACTAAGTTGGCGAGCCAATCTTGCGATTATTGTTGTGCTGTTTCTCTTTTATTTACATAATCATACAGTACATGCTTGGAGTTTGCATTGTAATGAGCAATCATGGTACCGTAGCTTACAGTACAATGTATTGTACTCTTAAACTGGAAAATGCATAGAGGTCAAAAATAACAACTTTGTTTTTATGTCTACAGTATGGAAAAATAGGTGCTGTGCGATACTCCACCGTCTGATCTTCATAGTCCGGACCCGGTCTAAGGTTCGAGGACCGGAACCAGACTACAGTATGATACTACAGTGTACAGTACAGCTCAGGGACATTTAGTACTGTACTGTGGGACGAAATTCATGGGTGGTATTAGGGAGGTGTCAGCGTGGAAATCAAATATGGCTACGGTAGCACTGAAATAGCTCTGGAAGTCCATGGAATAGACGAAATTCATGGGTGGTGTCAGCGAGGAAACCAAATATGGCTACAATAGCACTGAAATAGCTCTAGAAGTTCATGGAATAGACGAAATTGATGGGTGGCGACAGCTTGGAAAATTGTCAATATCTGCCAAGCAGCTCCATATGTTCTCTTGTTTTGGTTAACATTTCTACTGAACATACTGCAATATTGAAGTTTAATTATGATTGAGCTCATCCAACGGTATAAAACTTAGGCATCACGTTGAGTAGAGAGAGACTAGAGCAGATATTGAGATATTTCTTCAGTCATAGTTTCAGTAATGTCTAGTTGAAGATTTTTGCAACCTGTGGTGGCCTACTGTGCAGTAGAGACGCTAAAAAGGGAGAGGGAGCGAGAGACCAATATAGAGGTCTGGCACATTTTTTAGGGATCAAACTATGGTACAGTTCTAACTAATTCACTCTATTGCAAAAAATACTGTACCTACAAATGGATGCAATTGAAACACGAGTGTACCAATGTTGTTACTGAAAATTCTGTTATAGCTAGTTCAACACAGGCTGGTTAAAGCTTATAAATTAGCTTTAAGCAGCTCGATACTGCATATTATAAAGTCCTTCAGTGTGCAACCGTGTCGGACCATCGGAAATGTAAATAACTGCTTAGACTACATGTCTTGTCCGACGAGAATGCACTGCATGATGCCTTAAAAATGCACTCTGTCAAGTTCGTATAGCCACTTTCGTAGAAAAGGGTTTAACTTTTAAAGGCAGACAGATTACTGTTCATCAAGTTTAATCAACGACGAGAGGGCAACTCGATGCAATCCATGGAGACAAAAGAAACCCAAGCTGAGATTGAACTAAACACATACGTACAATATGTATCATGAACTACCAGATAGACCATTCATCTAGTCATCCATGGCTGTATCATTACAGAAATACAAGTGCAAATGTCTCTTCATTCAGTGCGTTGAATTATATCGTCAATACTGTATCTAAGGGATAATTTATCAGTCGCTATGGATAAGTGTAAGCTGTCCATTGTACGTACAATGTATATGATGGAAGACTACGTTAATGATTTGGCTCAAGGAACTATCACTCTATCAAACACGTGTTCTAATTAGTTTGGCATTTCCATCAATTGACATTCCTTCTAACATCAACGCTCTTTAATAAACAGTACAATATTTTTCAACTGTATCCTTATCCTGTATGGTAATATGTGATATTTCTACTGTAATCCAAGGCAGATAAAGCATTGTCGTGTCCTGAAAGAGCAACGAATGAACTGAGTGAACAGTTTTTTTAACGTTGGACGTGACGACAACTTCTGTATTGCTATATCTAATGCTATTTATTCCTTCGTTATTCCTATTCATAATTCTTGTGAATTCCTTTAGTCTGTGGTATTTGAGCTGATCTTTTGTAACTGTAGATAACAAAATGATGTAATCAATCACCTCCTATACAGTACAGCACATATCGGATACTTATAATTATCACTTTAAAAATACTGATAATCTACGAGTATTACCTATTGTAAAATGAAAGTTTGCACATGGTTTCCTTCTGTCTTGTGTTGTTATAACAATATTTATACCAATCATATGCTTACTCATCCGTATCTCAATGGGCATAATTGAAATTTTAATGTATTAAAATATTCATTCTCACCCACAATGAATAACTCAACCCTACAAATTATTCGTAAATATGTAGTAGCACTGCAGTAACTGTACTGTCAGGTAGTTCAGTTCCAAGTATACTTTATCATGAAATTTACGTTATAGGAAGCGTTTATCACAAGGGCTTAAAAAACAATTAGTGATAATAATATCAATTAATATTATATCTCCTACTTAAATTTAAGAGCTTCATTTTGTATAATCATAATTTATTGATAACTTAATGCGATTTTCCAAGCATACATCGTCATAAGATATATCCTTACAGTGCTTTCAATTACAATTATAAATTTATGATATTTAATAATGCAATTATTCGGCTATTTCATATTATATATACTGTACTCATATATATATGTTGTGACTACGCTTACAAGATACATAGATTTATATATCCAAATTCTGGCTCAGATGCGCAATACAGATTTAGAATTTATCCTAAAGTATATATAAGGGACTAAAATGAATTGCTTTATTGATACCTCCAATGTTATCCTTAAAAGCTCAGCTATTACCCTAATAGCAGCAATCGACGATAACAGCAAATAGTTCTAGCTACATTTTTTAGATAGTATAACTTTACTAGCGAAATTTCAATTATACCGCAGGAAAGTAAAGTTGTATATCTCGATTTAGAAATAAATCAGAGCCTGTAAAACTAGATTATCTATGTCTTGATAAGATTAAAATTACAGATATCTTTGGATAAATCAGGTTTTAAAACATCAATTGCATATGATAGACGCTTATTTCGAGTCCAGCTATATGAATTATCAAAGTTCACGATATCTAAGAAAAAAATACATTCAATTCAATATCTTATATGAAACATAGTCATAATTAATTGGCGCAATTTTGAATTATATCGATGAAACGCATAATGCATATAAATAGTATTATCTATACAGTACTATTAATAGAATATCATATGCGTATTGCAGAAATTAGCGCTTATAAGTTATGGCAATCAAATCTAGCGCAATATCATTTGAAATCACTGATATTCTACTCCTTTGGATGATAATAAGTATTACTCCATAATAATAAACTTACAAGTTCCAGTTCGATCACAGTAGAAGCTGCCATACTCTGGAAGTAAATGACTGTCCCTACGCTCAACTGAAATCTGAGATCGTTTTTTTTTAATTAAATCATCTTAAATACTGAAAGCTTTCATGTAATATGTGGTAATCAAAATTTTACATAGCATTCCGCGAAATTAAAGAAATCAAATAAAATTACCAGCTTTTCCATCTCTTCAATGTTACTGTCCGCCAATGATTCATCTTCCTTATAATATAATCCGAAAGCGATATCGTGGCCATCAGTTTTAAACTCCCAACTTGACAAAATTAAAGGGGTTATATAAAACTTGTAGTTAGTACAGTATGCAAATGACTCAGAGCCTAAGTATAAAATCTTGAAGATTAAATATTGGTATACATTTCTCTTACCGAATAGTGGTACCAGGATCTTCAATCTCGTATTTTATTTGCATGGTGGCACCTCGGTTAATCACAGCGGTAGTATAGTCATCATTGCAAATCGTCAAATCGGTTTTGTATAAAGACTTGGGTATTTCTCCTCCTAAGCAGATCTACTCGTCAATGTCGAATAATATAAGAATTAATATTAATTTATTTAACGACACAGAATTACTTCGTACTTAAATTAGCAATGTTTGCAGCAATTTTTACTGCTGTCACCAATCCAAGTAATATACACTTAGTGTTAAGCTAATCCAAGTATTCTTCGAGTATTCATATAGCATGAAGTAATAATATGTGAATAAAAAGACGCCACTCTATACAGTAAATTCTTTAAGCTCAAAGTGTGATTCCTAGTTACTAATCAAATATCAAATTCTACTAAAGCATTTCTATTTTAATGCCGTACTGCATACTGTATAATGCTTTCTAAATTTGAGAATTTTTTTACCCTTTCCATAGCTAACTGAAAGAAAATCAACTATGAATATAATAAAACTCTCCTTGAAATAATTAGATATCATTACCTGCGATTTGCAATACGGATGACCGTCTTTATCGGTGCAGGCTCCTCCTAACGCTTTCGGTAATTGATCTTCATCGATATATTGTCGTAAAACTTGTTTCCAGTTACCTTCGAAGTAACACCAGATCATAAATATATATATAACTATGGCTATCAGCAATATTTTTAGGCAAATAGGCATGTAATTCTATTCCAATGTTTTGATTTTTATGTAACAGAAATGTAACTTACTGCCAAGGACGAAAATTTTTTGTTTCGTTTCTTCGCTAACGAACGGCTTCATAAGTGAATACATGACGGGAAATATAGCTGGAGCTACACGTTATAAATTTATGATAAAATGAATTTCGCGATGACCTTGATCAATTTTATAACTTAGATATCTAGCTATCATTTAGTAAAATCTGATGTTAGTAGTCTAGCATAGAATTTAGAAATAAATCATTGACGAACCATTTATTATAAAAACTCGCTTCAAAAATTCTGGATAATTCTCTTCATACATTTTAACAAGCTGTTTAATAAGCAGAAATGACAATATTTAATGCCACATTCAAGTCGCTAGACAGTTTAGTAAATACATATTATTATCAACGATAAAAATGATAGTTTTCTTATCCGTCATGAAATTCATCGAAGCTAAGCAGTTATATCACATTGATATATCACAGTGGCGCAATATTTTAGAATTTTAAGAAAAACCAACGGGCGATTATAATACCTTAAAAAAGCAGTCTAGACCTGTGCATCAACAAAATCTAATATTAGTTAACTTCACTCTGGAATTCCAAATTTTAATATTGATAATTACCAGGCTTCCATAAGTGTTTTAATCCCAGATTTGACATATCTTCAATGGTCGTCATGGACTCAATACGGCACCCAAGCTAAGAGCAATTGATTAAAAATATGAATACGGCAATTTAAAAAAACGATATCATGCAAGCTTTAATAATTAAAGGATCTACGTAGACTCTAATAGCCTATCCCTACTCTAGACCCAATATTGAACAGATGATGGCAAGTAGTGTACTAGTGAAGGATTAGTAAGCTACATTCATTGTATATGCCAGCTTTTTTACCTTTTTACTTTGTTGTTTAAATTTCACTGTTGCGATCTCAGCCATGTACAGTTTGTACTTCCAGATTTCTTCTTTCTTGACGCAATGCATCAGCCCTAAAAGGAGTGTTGGTGATTCGATATTCTCAATATGATAAAGTTACCATCGACACTGAAACTATAAGGCCATTATTACCATAGTTGATTATACGCGTATAACTAATCTACCTCAACGTATAAAATTTATAGAGCTAAAGAGATAAAAGTACAATATCTTTTTATTAATTAGACCATATCTATCATTATATATTTCTATAATAAAATTTTTCTAAATCATTACACGATCAAAAGTGATTTAGATATATACGTATATCTAGTAAATATTAGCTTATATCATATGCTACATAAAGAAATTTAGATTAATTTAACAATCATATTGTCATTAACTATCGTAATTGAAGAATGTTGACATTAACTACCAGTATCTTTGTCATGATTATTCATAAACGATATTAGCACAACTAATAAAAGCGCAAAATAAAGTAAAAATTTTTGAGGTCAAGGTATAGATTTTATTACCATACCTTTGATATCCAGATTTCCAATTGGATCCACCAAGACCGGTGAACCTTCTTTATCGTAACCGAAATAATTGCCTGAGTAGTAATCTTGTATGATCTATAGGTTTTATTAAAGTATTGAATATTACATTAAGATAATTTATAAATTAAAGTCTGCCACCGCAAATATGGAACGAGTCTCTAATGCGAAAAATCCAGCATCAGTTGTATTCAATAGTAAAAAATACTATAGGAATTGTAATTATAATTATAGGTTTAAATCGCTTTATTACAGCATTTTCCTTCCCTGCTGACATAGACATAACCGCTCAAAAGTTAAAATAATAAATAATAGCTATAACTTTCTAGACATTAGATACCGTACTGAAATATATGACAAGACTACCATATTTTCTTAGCAAGATATAAACGATGTATATTCCTATCTCGTTCAACTTAATGCTACAACCATAGCTAATTATTTTGTACTTTATAAAAGCAGTCGTTCAATAAACTTAATCTAACATTTACGATAATGAAAATTTTGATCATATGCAAATAAAAATCATGACCAGCAAGCTTCTGTGTGATAGCTAAACTATAAATCTTAGGATAAACGAAAATCCTATAATGAAAATCTAGGAATACTGTTGACACAAAAATTTGTAAATCAAATACTGTTGACACAAAAATTTGTAAATCAAATATAGATTGAAGATCAAATCCTTAAACTATAGCTAAAGTAATAATGTAACATAAATGATTCCAATTTGCCATTGTTAAGAATTGTATATGTACTAACCTGAGGTATTTTATAAGATTGTACCAAATCATCTAGTTTCATTTCCTTTCGAAATTCCATACTCTAAATGTTCACAATATACGTATCAAAAAATCAGTTATGTACTAGCTTTAATTTACTTTTACTCTCGATATTTTTCAAACTTCCGGTATTTCGACACCCTAAATTGCCACTACTGATTTTCATTACTTTATATAACAAATTTAAATAATTTACCTTTCGCAGCATTGCTTCTGATTTGGCTAAGTCGAATTTACGAGCTATTGTTTATCAGTAGAATTCCGATATAATTAAAAATAAGTAATAAAATATAACAAGCACTGAATTTACGGAAATGAATGCAAGAAAACAAGAATAAACCTTTCAGCCATCG